TAAGTGCTTTCATTTCCTCAATCATGGCAAGTTCCCACTCAGAGATAGCAAGAGCATCCTGAAAATGGTTAGGAATGCTAACAGAAGAAATATTTGACACAAAAGCTCTATATGAGGACAACAAATGAGAGTAGAACACAAAATTGGAGATAGGATGCTAAGTACAAGATCTCACACCCTTTCTCTTAGCAATAGGAACATCAAGATCAATAGGAGTATCAAGATCAGTGGACTGAGATTCAAAGTTATCTAGACTCTCATCAGAAGTAGGAGATGATAGTGGGTGAACAAAAGTGGTCTCTTGTATCCAGTTAACTTTTTGTCTGTCTTTGTCCCTGACATAAACTTGCTCTTCCCTATCCTTGGTGACATTGGGTTCTATGGTCCCAGTAAGAGGTGATGGTGCAGGAACAACTGGTTCCACCATAGGAATCACATGAATCACTTCACAGCAAGACTCCCCCTGAAGGGAGGACTGTGACACCAAAGAGAACAAGAAATAGGAATGAGACTCAAGAAATGTGACATCCATGGACACAAACCACTTACGAGAAGAAGGGTACTTATACCCCTTTTGAGTAGGAGAGTACCCAAGGAAAACACATTTGAAGGAGCGAGGGTCCAACTTACCACGAGTAGGAGAGTGATTGTGGACAAAACACACACAACCAAATATTTTTGGAGGAATAGAAAATAAAGACTTAGAACCTAGGAGGACTTCAAGAGGAGCTTGTTTTTGCAAGACCTAGGTAGGAAGACGATTAATAAAATGGGCAGCGGTGAAAATGTCGTCGCCCCAGTAGGACCGAGGTACACTCATAGAAAAACACATCCACCAAGCCATGTCGAGAAGATGACGATTCTTGCGTTCTGCCACCCCATTTTGTTGAGGGGTATTGGTGCAAGAAGTCTGATGGATAATGCCATGAGCAGAAAAATATTGCCCTAACCCAGAATCTATGTATTCCCCCCTATTATCAGAACGGAAGATTTTGACAGTGGCCCCAAACTGAGTACAAATCATCTTATGAAAATTGCGGAACACAGAGAAAACCTCACTCTTGTCGTTCATGAGATACACCCAAGTAGTACGAGAAAAATCATCAATAAATATAACAAACCATCGATGACCTTTCACAAACATAACACGAGATGGATCCCAAACATCATAATGTACTAATGAAAAAAGAACTAAACTTTTATTAAAACTGGGAGCAAAAGAAGCGCTGCGTTATTTTCCAAGTTGACAAGACTCACAAAGAAACTCAGACACATTATTGTTTGCAAAAACAGATGGAAATAAATGCTTAAGTAAATAAAAAGAAAGATTCACAAGACGTCGATGCCACAACAATAAATCATCTTGGGTAGTAAGACTTGTGGTAGAAGAATGAGCAAGCTTGTCCGGTTGATCCAGGAAGTAGAGACCATTTTCTGCACTACCATTGCCAATCATCCTCCTCGTGACAAGGTCCTAAAAAAGACAATGATTAAGAAAAAAACGTCACACTACAATTCAAATTCTGTGTAACATGACTCAAGGATAACAGGTTAACAGAAAAATTCAGAACATGGAGAACAGAAGATAGAGGTATGGTAGGAGTGACATGGATTAAACCTTTTCCAGAAATTGAAGAAATAGTACCATCTACAATCCTAACTTTGTCTTAACTAGAAAAGAGTTTATAGGTAGAGAAAATGTCAGAGGATCCAGACATATGATCGGAGGCACCAGAATCAACAATCCAGGGCAAAGACTTATAAGAAATGAAAACACGAGGAGAAGAGGCTAAGTTACCTGAGCGGGCAAACGACGAGGAAGATGTACTAAGAGCAGTAGAAAACAGGCGGTCCAGCAAGTGACACAAAACATCCTCAAGCTCATGAGTAGTCATGCCAAAGAGGCCATCAGAAGCCTGGCCAACGGAAGCGAAAGTAGAATCAAGTGTATCAACGGCACTAGACTGATGAGCCCGCAGATGAGAGCCCCGTCCTCTAGACTGGCCTGACAGACCTCCTCTAGAACCAGACCAATCACCTCAACCCCTGGATGGAGTCCCATGAAGTTTTCAACACGTCTCACGAGTATGCCGCGGCTTGCGACAGTAATCATAAAAGACAGACTCCTTGGCGACAGACGGAGGGATGGAAGTCAGACTGAGGCCATCTCTAGGAGTAGACAGTAAGTAACGCTGAGCGGTCAATAAAGACAGGTGACATCATAGCAGACTAGCGACTCTCCTCATTCTGTACATAGGCGAATGCCTCTTAAAGTGAAGAGAGTATCCATAATCAGAACCCGACTCCGAACCGGACCATACTCCACATTGAGACTTGCAAAAAACTTAAAGACCCTTTCCTATGCAATGAACTTCCTGTACCCAACTGAATCAGCAGTGCAAATAGGCTTATAGTCTTACAGGTGATCAAGGCGTTTCCAGCCGTTGGTAAGGAAGGTGAAGTACTGAAGAACAGTCTGCTTTCCCTGAATAGAGCTCTCAACGGAGCGGTGCAACTCAAATGCTTGTGAGAAATTCCCTTCGCGGGAATAGGTGGCGGCCACAGCATCCCAAATATCGAGTAATCTCCACAGACAAGTAGCCCTCACCTATGAAGCACGGATACTTCAAAAAGGGTGACGTATCCGTATCGGATACTTATCAGATACCGATACTCCTCGGATACTCGCGGATACGTATCGGATACTTCTTAATTAATTTTTTATTAATTTTGAAGTATCGGATACTCAAAGTTACATATTACTTATAATATTTTGTTTAGTTCTTTGATAAGAGGAATATAGTGAGAGTTAAAGTAATAGAATTTGTCAAATTGATGTATCCTTGTTATCTCTCTCACTTCTCTCTCACTTTCTCACTCTCTCACGTTTCTTCTCTCTGCTCTCATTCTTTTTTTGGTGTTGGCATGTAAGGATGATGTTTAATTTGCATTTGCATTTGCTTTTAGTTGCTCTCATTCTTTTTTTGATGTTGGCATGTAAGGATGATGTTTAATTTGCCTTTGCTTTTGCTTTTAGTTTTGGATGTTTTATGAATGTTTGAGTACTTTTAGGTTAATAGGAATCCCTCTCTTTATTCATTAATTTACTTTAAGTTTTATTTTCATGCATATTACATTATTAAAATTATAATTTTTTTTTTTTTTTTTACGAATGTATCCCCGCTGTACCTATATCATACTTTTCAAATTTTAACATATCGCCATATCTACATCCCCATATCACCATATCCGTATCCGTGCTTCCTAGGCTATCATTAATGACTTAAAAAAGTATATTTGCTGAAATTTTTATTTAAAAATGATTTTTTGGCTTTAGCTAAGGTCTTGTGATATTCACTGATGAAGGGGAACAAGTTGAAACTATTGACCTTGAAGAGTTTTAGTTTTATAGGAATCTTTCTTCTTTATCAAGTTATCTTTTGCTTTAGGTTTTATTTTTATGCATACTGCATTACTAAAAATTGTTAAAATAATACTTTTTACGAACGTATTCCCGCCGTACCCGTATCCTAGTTTTTCAAATTTTGTCGTATCGCCGTATCCGTATTGTATCGTATCCGTATCCCGTATCTGTATCCGTGCTTCCTAGGCCCTCACCAATTTCTGGTACCATCGAATGAATAAGCCAACCCGTAATCAAAGAGTTGGTAATCTCGCATTGGTCATAACCGGGTCAGTGGTGCTGGGTGCCTGCATCCTGCAATCAACATACTTCATCCTCCCTCTGCTCTTCAAAAAAATAGTCAAACTCTGCGACCACGCTAGATAGTTCTGACCATTAAATAGAGAGGTGGTAATTTTAAGACTAGGGTTAGGGTTATCAGTCATAGTCGGAGGTATCATGGAACTCTCACTCCTATGTGTCTGAGAAGTCGTGGACACACTAGTGGAATCTACCATGGATACTGTACTACCGAACCCTCAACAAAACTAGTGCCAATCACAAACCCGAAAGGTGGTGGTGAAAGGAAAGACACAACGACCACTATAAAAGCATAACGAATTAAGAACTCGTAGATTTTTTTTTTTTTGGGTTTTAAGAGAAACGAAGTCAACAACAATCTAAAGAAACAGAAAGGAAGACAAAAGCAGACAGCAGAGAGACGATCGCATGAAGCTAAGAAGGCATAGGGTAGTCAACTAGGTCAAAGGGACTGTCAGTGGCAGTTGGCCAGGCAAGACGAGCCTACACTAGCGGCAAAGACCAACGAGAGACCAAGATGGGCCTTCGATAAGGACTTCGACCAACCCAGGTGCGTTTTGAACCCTATAGTGATCTGAGTTGCTAATTTCGACCAACAAGGGTGAGCCAAAACCCTAGACAGACATCAACCCACCCAAAACCACCTGGGTCCTTCTTGGCTTGAGCCGAAGCCCCTCAGATTGGAGTCGGCTTGAGCCGACAGAGAGAACCTGTCTCCGGCTGGCGGCTGGTGGCTCCGGTGGTAGCTGGTAGCTGGTAGCTCTAGTGGGTAACAGGAACTGTATGGGTAGATAGGTTTAGGTTTTAGGGTTAGGCTCTAATACCATGATGATTTTAGAGAATACCAAGATAAGGAAATGATTGTGATATCATCCCTTTTTTATATTAATGAAGATTAATAATTACAAGAAAGCCCTAACGCATAGGATAATTACACTTGAATAATAACCCAACTAATAATATACTAATCTAACAATTTCTCCATAATGAAAAGGAACCGAAAAAGTTGAAAAATGAGTTAGATGACAAAGATAAAACCACATGTAGATGGATGATGTTTCTCGTGCAAATCATGTTGTGCAAGCAGACTATTATAACACATAAGGAAAAAATTAATTAACCAAGATATAAAAATAAAAAATAAAAAACTCAACACTAGATGAGAAAAATTAAAATGATACAATCAAGTTAATGTAGTTACATAACTAGTGAAAAAATATCAATTTATCAGCAATTGCAAAATTTAAATTAAAAAATTAAGATGACAATAAAGTACCTTTGTTCTGTCTGAAGTCATTTGTAGCATGGCTGAAAGCTTATAGTAAGAACCATCTGAATTAAAGGCCTTGACAACAACCCGTTGCTGAAAGAGAAAATTAATGCCATAAATTGTTAGACAGAATTGTGAACACATGAAAAAAAAATTGAAAAAAAAACCCGCAAGCCATACTGAAGAGGCTAAATAATTGTTTATCATATCACCTTTTTTTCAAGCTCAAGCAGAGATATCCCAGGACTGTAAAATTCGGAATTTCGAATTGCAACTGCAATGCCCACCCGTGGTGACAGATAAGCATCATTTCGTGTTGAAAACAGCATCACCCCACCGCGACCGATGTAGTCTTGTGGAGAAAGCATGCTAGGTGTTGGACTAGTATCCTCAATTGCTTCTAGTACCTGAACATCTTTCCTCAGGCCAACAGGTCTCCTGTCCATTAAATTTGTAGGACTTCTCAGTGCTGTTTTTGCAGATTTAAAAGATTTTGAGGGCAGAAGGGATTCTGCATCCACACTCTCCAGAGGTTCAATTTCCACCACTCTATATCCCAAAGATAAAGAGGATTCGTTACTGATCCAATAAGGTACAAAGAACCTTATAGTTTTGGGAGCAGCAGCAGTTCCTCCCATATCACGTTCAATGCTCACACGCAATCTCCTGCACACACGATGTCATGAAGATACTGGGTAACAAAATCAAATTAATTTACCATGAAGATGCAAAACTAGAACAGGAGTACTGGTAGCCACCAGCCCACTGCTCATTGTTGCGTTATGAACAGAAAATAAATTTCAATATGATTCCTTCAAATGTTGTCCAGCTAACAAGATATATATAAAAAGGAAGTGCACATTAGAACATGAGAGCAGACCTTTTCCTCTGCTGGTGAACCATCCAGAATGATGAGGCATGGTTAGTCGATGTAAGATCTAAAACAAGAACAGGATCCTGATATGAAAGAGGAAAAAAGGAAGACCTTTGTGAGTTCAAATTCTTAACCATGAATGCGGGTGCTATAGATCTGACGAGTCAGTACACACATTATATTGAAATTCTCACCTTTTCCAAAACCCAGCCGCCTTGAACAAACAATGAAAGATATATGGGTTTCCGGACATCAGCAGAATATATGTGTACACTCCCACGTGATGGAATAATACCATGTTGTCTCTCAACACTATTACCTTCTTTCAATTTTTCCCATACAGTGAATTCTGCTGGGCATGGAAGTCGGTTCTCCAATTTCAAAGGAGAATTAATAGATATTTTCCAATCATAGACAGGAGCATTAAGCTCTGTCTGAAGAACTGAGGCATCTGTGCTGATGCTAAGCCAAAATTGCTTACGACCAGTACTAGGACAACACAAAAGTATATCCTTCTTCTCAAGCTGATTTAACTTCAATGAAGAGACGGGCATTTTATTTCCTTGCTTTAATGTATTTTGTCTAGAAAACAGACCTTGATCTACGGAGGGTTGGTCCTTTCCATATGTATAACCAGAACCTACAGCAACTGCATATCCCCATGAGTATGGGGGCTGAGGATGATCAAAACAAGGGCGAACCTGTAAGCAGTGGTCAGAATCCTTGGACATACTTCTCCAGGGTAATACAAAAGAAGAACCAGGACTTATGGTACCGACAACATCATTCATGCTTGTTATGCTTTGCCCCATAACTTTTTTCTTTCCAGCTTCAGAGAGATCATGACTATTAATCATAGATATAGGGCAGACTGACACATCTAATTTGACACCTGAATCATTTGCAACAGAAGCGAGACCCCTGAAAATTGCATGCTTCTTTCCATTCCTCATTACAACTTCCACAGCAACAAAATCATCATTCAGTGATTTGGTGATCACAGTCAGAGGAAGGAATGAACGAAAACTTTCCCATTCACCCTTTGGGCCGAGCCCCGCCCAGAAACCTACATCTCTATCAACGTCATTTCCAATTTGCACACTACTTTGAAATTTCGTAATTGCTTTCCTTTCGAAATAAGATGTGGAAACTAGAAGGCATGCACCAGAATTTATGTCATCACAGTTAGGCTGACCCTGAAACAAAGAACAAAGAAAATGCAAGAATTCATAGAATACTAAGAGAAAAGAATGGATACATAATTGCACAAAAGCATGCCTACATGATCTGAAATGAATCACTAACCTTTGTCTTTAGTGGATATGACACAATATGTTGGCCATCAGGTGGTTGATGTAGCATTCTCACTGAAGCCACCTTCTTCAAGGTATTTGCACCATGTCCAACAGAAAACGAAGATGCACCCACAACTTCACCTATATTGACCAAAAAGAAAATTTGATACAAACGCAAGCATAGTGGGTGTTTGGAAAATGGTTTTTTTTGTAGGTTTTTTTAGTTGTAGGATATTATTGGAGAAATTTTTTTTTGGTTTTGGGAAGATAGTTGGGTTTTTTTATGGTTGGATGTGATGTTTGTGAGAGAAAAAATGAAATGATTATGGGGCTTGATGTGATATTTTGTTTGGATTGGTTTTTTTTGGTTTTGTAAAACATTTGTCTTGTAGTGAAAAAAATAAAAAAGATAAAAACCCAAAAACGTAGTTGCCAAACACCGCCATAATATATGATATAGTTTGCATCCAAAGAAAGAATCACGTGTAACTAAGTGGAATTAAGCATTCAGTTGAAAGAACAGTAAATCCTTTACAGTATGTGACACAGGAAAACTCCAAGATTGACACCAATGGTACACCACATCATAAAAGAACATGAAATTAACTAAATGATTATAATTAGACTGGAAACTACACATATTCATGACAAATGTGCGAAGGATCATTTTCAGAAACAAATTAAGCACAGCTTTACAATCATAAATGGAAATATTTATCTAACTTTTTACAGATGATTCCAAAACCAACATAAACTCAAAAGGTGGTTTTGTTGACTTGAGTCCTCAGTGAAAGAAGATTCAGAATATTTTCTTGCGAGAAGTATGGAACCTTGTTTTCAGCCTACTGTACATGGTGTTTATATTCTTTTCATTAGGTAAAGGCATATGCAACAAATTTATGCATTTTATGCAATTAGAAGCTAATCTTCCAAGTAACATGTACCTTTTCCGGCTTTTGCTGCAAGGTTTGTCACCTCCACTTCCAACTTTGCCATCCCCTGCAAAATTTATAAACAAAAGATTGCGTAGGATGAAATTCGGATTTCAGATTGAATAAGAACCCGTTAACAACTGATTAAAAGATTAAGGAAAATCAATTGTGTTAGGTATCATATACATGATTCAAATATTATCTTCACAGATAATTTCAGCTCTTTAAAAAAGGTGCTCTGGCAAGAGTGGAATACAAGATGTCTTGAACATGAGGTGCTTCTTCTTATGAGTTCAAAGAAAAAATCTAGAATCGTTAATCAATAATGCTCTAAGTTATGACATCAGTTTTCTAGCATTGATCCATGAACTTTTCTCAAGATAGTTGGCTTTTCTCGCCTTTGTACATTCTGCAAGTTTTATAACTACCTTTCCTTGTTATCCACCAAATTAACATTTTCAGAATAAGAAAAAGGGAACACAGATGGAAAAATATGCACAAAGGAAGCTGCAGGAATATTAGCAATAGGAACTTGAGAGAAGAGGGTTGTCCTTCCAGCTGGGGTGTGGGGCTGGGGATGGGACTTCATGCTGATTATAAAACAGTTCCTCCAATGAGCCAAACAAGCTCGACACTTCAAAAAACAGCTTCATATCTATTCCGCCAGTCATGGGTGCAATGACAAATAATCAGAACTGAGGAAGGCCAAGAATAGACCCTTGCTCAAGAGATATTAGAAGAGACTTTTCAAGTACAGATACATTTTTTTTTAAAAAAAAAATTATTAGTAAAGAAGGGGAAAAAATAAAAGAGAAACAAACAAAAGAAACATATAAAGTCCTACTCATGATATTGAATTCATTAAAAAATACTAAGATCCATATCAGATTGGATACCCAGAAGATGAATGGACAAATATGGGCGGGAAAACTGTCAAGCTGAAAAATTTTACATTCAGAATTCTGACAACAATCTCAAGCTTAATAAATTTCTAAACCAATTCAGCTTAGAGTACGAATTTACAAAAATAGGTAAGAATTTGGTGAAATGCTGTAAAATAGGAAAATGTTACAAAATTCTGAATGGCCAACTTAGGTAGGCAATTAAACAACTTTGAGGTTTAGATAGACTCCTGAATTGACAATATATTTAATACTTATCAACCATGGTTTTCAATATAAAACCTTTGGCAAAAATAGCATGGAAGTGAATTATCTGCAATAAAAACCATAAAAACATGAACAAGTAGACGCATGACTCTGCATTTTAACAGCATATTGTGAGTGGATAAATAATTGAAAATGAAGGCATTGCTAATTTGAATTCAAAGAAACTAGGGAAAATTAAAATATATATATATATATATATATATATAAAAGACAAGGGTTTGACCCTTGTTACAAATTAAACCCTGCATTTTCAATTTCTTCAATTTAAACCCTAACCTTCTAAATTAATACCAATTTAAACTATAGTTTATGTCCGTTTGAAGACACAAATGGAAAAGGGTAAATTTGTAATTTTATTCACCATAATTATGCATTACACAATATATACATTTACATACATTATATGCTAATGTTCCTTCACCACCACCAGTGGCCACTCCCCACCTTCTTGGTATCAATTTAGGAGACTAGGTTTAAATTGAAAAATTAAAAATGTAGGGTTTTAATTTGTAACAAGGGTCAAACCTTGGGGGGGGTTTTTTCCATAATTTCCCCAAGAAACTACTATACATCTTTCAACTTACTCAGTACATCATAATGATTACAGTTTAGCAATTAATATATAGCTCTGATTACAGGGATGACCATTGGCTTAATGGTAAAATCTTGGCAAAATAACCTTGAGGTTATGGGTTTAAGTCTCAGGGCAACCACTTTGTACATTATGACAAAGGTTAGGTGTGTATCCAATTTTTTTCCTCCCAAACACACATTAATGTGTACTAATTGGGCATTGTTTTTTTTTTTTGTTCTGACTGTTTATCTAAAAATTACAAATACTGCCTTCAATTTCAATTAAAAGAAGATAAGCATTTATAAAAAGACTGGATGTGAAAGTAATATTAGAAGTACCTTCCGAGGAACTTCAAATATAAAAAGTTCATTCCATTTGGCGGTGCCTTCATCCAGATGATCGGTTTTGCAAGTTAATGGCTTAACACATTTGGTCCTTGCACTCTGAGGAAAAAGCTTTTGCTGATTTATTTCTTGACTATCAACAATCAGGCGCAAAGCACAGAAGAAATTGTGACTATTTCCATCATCAATAATGGATAAACCCTGCACAAATTTAAAAGTAATCATTCTTTGTCAGTAGTAAAAAAATGACACCTAAATTTTAGGAAGAACTACTGAATTAAATTGGGCATACTAAAACCTTGGCTTCAAGTATCTGCACAGCAACATATCTTCGTGCTTCCCTAGATTCATCTGCAACGTTTAGCCTGTCGGAATACCTTGGAGGTGGAACCCAGACAGAAGCACATTCACCATGACATAGCAAGTCAACTGTGTTTGAATTTTGCTCAACTTTCCTCAGGTAAATATCACATCCGAGTTTATTTTCTACTATCACTGTTTGAAAATCATCTTCATCCAATGCAGCAAAAGTCAAATTATCACCATGGCCATGAAGAGTACCAGCTTCCTGCAAAGAGAATGCACAACGCACCTAACAGCATATCAGCATATACGCTAGTCTAAAACCATCCTATGTGAAACATATAAAATGTTAAGATTTTAAATGACCTCAGTAAATTTCATTGCCTTTTGTTCGACTTCTCTCTGTCTTCTCCAAGAAACCATAGTTTCTGCAAATGTATCAAGATTGGCTGCACTGAGATTTATATTTAGAATACTGGTGGCAGCAACACGTGCTCTTTTTCCTAGTCTTGATGGTGGTTGTAGATTAGTATCATATGTCTCAAACCTCCAAAAAGCAAAAGAATAAAAATAAGAGTATTACGCAAGGCACCATATCGAAAAAAACTGGTTTGACATTATAAAAATAATGGTAACAAAAACAGCACTTCATAATCTTAAACAATATAAAGGAAAAAAAGAAGAGCGAGATATACTTAAATATTCCATCAAATGGCTCCACAAGTGGCTCCCATGCTTCTAGTTGTTTATTGAATGTTGACGCAGCTATAGAAGAAATCAAAACAGCATTCATTGCCTCTAGTCGACCATGAGTTGCGAGCTTGATATTAGTGATTGTGGCATCAAAAAGTGGTGTCATCTGAGAGGTTCCAGATTACACATATTAATAACAAAGAAAAAGGGTAATAAAAAGTTCGTGTTTTTTTTTTTTTTTTCAAATTTATTCTTTTGAAGCATACCATTCTGCATAAGCTGTCTAGCACAGTCACAGAGAAGCATCTTATTTTCATTTCAGAAGTGATGTTCTCCCGTGTCTTTGGCTTCACAGAATCCCCAATAGTAAATGCCAATCGGCTTGAAGGTTTTTTCAAATCAGAGCGTGCAAGGAAAGTGCAAGCCTACATAAATAACTCTAGTAAGTCTAGAAGCCTAAAGTAAATAAGAGCATATCACATGCAAGCATTTAAGAAGAAAATATGAGTTAAGAAATAATAGGCAAATTTTTAAATAAACAAAAACAAAAAACAGAAGAGCTAAAGTGGATGGTTTTCCTGACCTGATTTTCAACCTTCCAAATGCTCCAGCATTGAGATCCCTTTGAACTCAAAGACCTTGAAATCGGCACTTCAAGTATATTAGCTTGGTGAACAAGATCCATCCTTGGACAGCAAAATAAATCCAGGAGTGGTGCTTCATCTATTCGGGAGACTACACACCCCAGAGAAGCATAACCAGGAGGAGCAATTGGGTACCAAAAGAAAGCTTCATCCAGACCTTTCCTCACAATATGAGCAACTTTAGTAAACTGTACAGGCTTTGCAGATATTTCTGGATTATCAGCCCTAAAAATTATGCCCAGAGCAGGTGGCTCTAACCTGACACGGAAAAGTAACACAATAGCAATAAATTATAATACTACAAGAAATTATAAAAAGTAAGATATAGAAGGGTGGAAGACAAAATGATCTAACCCTTCAGTAATGCAGTCACCGAGTATAGCATAACCAGGACGTGGTATAGGTCGCCATATGGAGACTGGTCGGCGGATATCACAACCCTTGTCCCACCAAATTCTCTCAAAGTTTGGGGTTGACATGTAACAATTAGTTGCTTTTGAAAAAGAACGGAGTACATCCCATCCAGATGAACTTGCACTCTGGTTACTTGATTGTTGACTTACATACTCATGCTGAGTGGTTTGATTTGAGGTAGGTTCTTTTGTCGATGAAGAATGCCAACTTGAGTTCCATAGAAGAAGATGATTCAGGTCATAACAACTGTCCTTTGGGGGATATTCATCTGAAGGATGGGCATAAAATGACCCTAGAACATTGTCTGAACGCCATATGCTAAATCCATATGTAAAGCAGCGATTAGAGGAGGCACTGAAAATACATTCTGAATATGTTGTGAATGTTACAAGATCAGAACGTATACAATGGACAATGTGATTAGGCGGCGGTTGGCTCCCTTTATGTGCAACACATCCCAATGCCAAGTATCCTGGCGGTGCAACTGGTATCCAAAGAGAACAACCACCATCAACATCAGATTGGCCTTCACCTGCCTCCAATCCTTGAATATCAGAGAATAAGCCTATAAGCTTGAACCCAAGAGGTTTTCTTACACGTCCGTAAGTATTACTCACAGCCAGTACTGCCTGTGAAGGAGGAATTGGCCTGAAGACACATTACAATTAAACATAATTAAGAAAACTAATTAAACAAATAAGTTAATATTTCAGTTGATAGGAAGATGTCGAAAAACAACAAAAGAAAACATGTTGCAAGGATGAGTGAAAAATTCTGTACCAATAGATGAAACCATAAGAATTTAAATGACATTCGACTAACCCAACACAATACAATTCAATTTTATATAGAACTTCTATTTTTGCAATTCCAATACTTGATCATGCCGCCTGTGATGGCAGTGAATATAACCTTATCAGACAGAACAACCCATATATCAAGTCAAAATTGATTGGAGTTTTAGTCAAGCACAAAATAAAATTCTCCCTTGCAGCGAGTTCTACACCAAGTACTCCAAGAAGGGGACTTATGATGAGTACATATGCTAGAGAAACACCTCAAATGAAACTAGTTCTAATTATTTAACTTTAACAAAGATTTGTGACCACTATTTGTACCAGAAAGAAAAGATGACTATTTGTAACCACTATTTGTAGCCACTATTTAACTTTAATCATGTCCCACCAAGTTTGTGCCTCATCAGGATTTCCCATGATTACAATCCACAATACTAACAGGTCCAGCAGAGAACATTTTGCTTATTTTATTTTTATTTTTTCCTTTTCTGCAACAGCAGAAAATTGAATCATCAAATATTCTCGCTAATGGGCACATATCTCATCTCAGCATATAGACATGGTTTTACCTTGATGTTACACAATCTCCCAATATCACATAATTTGAAGGGGCTCGTGGTCTCCAAAAGGTAAGGTTGTTATGGCAACTATTTTCTGCAAACAAAAAATACAACCCAATTTAAACTCAACAAAGACCTAGATAATTCTAAAATATGCAACACATAAAATATTCAGTTTCAAATGTAAATAGCAAAATGACAAACACTAAAAGTGAAAAACAAATCAAAAGAATTATTTCATTTTCCACAAATCACAATTTGATCCAATAAAAATAAGAAAAACCTTTTGGGGACACCCATAGTCGGTCAAAGTTGGTACAAGGAGCCATGGGATCGGTGTTTCCCAATTGCAACGCCAAAGCTGCCTGAGTTTGCAAGTTCAGTAGAAGAGAAATTACACTTAGAGAAAGATGGATGTATATATCAGTTGATACCAGAGACACATTAGTTTTATCATTAACAGATGTATATCCCCCTGAAATATCCACTGGATCAAGAACAATAAGACCAGAACCAGCCTCAACAGTTAAATCCTTCACAAGTGTCCGAATCCAAGTATCATTTTCTTTTGATGCATACCTGTTCGAAACAAAAATTGGTGACAAAGTACAATATCATAACAAAGGGCTAATAATAATAGCTATCTACATAAACCCACAAATCAGATTGTGGAATCTAAAGGTGAGAAATTAGAAATATTTAAAGGACAAAACATTTAAACAAGAAACGTGGAATTTAGATGTAACTAATAAATACATGGAATACAATGGAGGAATGCAATAAAAAATATATATATAAAAAAAAAGTCATTGGTGGTGTTGTGATGAGATACAAGTCATAGTAAAAACAAAAGGAATGCTTTAAAAAGTGGCAAAAGCATAAACACGAGGAAAGTTTCAACATACATATACATATTAATAGTATATATATATATGGGCTAACTAGAAGGTTAAAATAACAGTTTGACATGCTTAGTTGAAAGGCTACGGCAATTTTTATACTAGATTAGACAATAAAAATGGATAAGAGAATATTTATAAACTTTGCTCAATTGAGATAGAAAAACATGAGACTTCAATCATACCAAGTGTACAATAAGTGAGGATTTGAGAGTGTTAGCAAAGTAATAAGGGTTTTCAAGATCATGAGAGCCTAGCCCAAAGCGGACAATATCATTATGGTTTGGGATAGGGACGTTACCATTGGTATCAGAGTGGGACTGCTTTATCATATGTGTGGTCCATGCTGTTGAATTGCTTGAGATATACTATTGGACCAATTTCCTAACAGCTTTTTGGGTTAATTAATGTGATCTAACACACGTGGTGGGAATCATCTCTAGAGTCTAGATGAGACACCTCTCGAGTCCCATGATTGAGGGTTAAGTATTGTGCAAAACTAAATGCTACATCACGCACCACACATGAAGGTGTGGTTCTAAGGAGGCGTAAATTAAATTTAATATCCTATCACACATCTTTTAGGTAAGAAAGGTTCTTGGGCTCTGTATAAGTGAGTTCAAACTCCCTTTCACGTAACATTGCATTTTAAAGTTGTGAAGACCTAACCCAAAGTGGACAAATATTGTTATGGTTTGGGATGGAGAAAATACAGCATAAGCTAGAGTTGATCCTATGGTCTTTGTGAAAGGGCACATCTACAAAATGTTTGTGCTTCACCAAATTTCTTTCCTACTAAACCCAAAGAAAAGGGAGAGAGAGAGAGAGAACAACTGATCACGTCCAGCAGATTTAAAAAAAAAAAAAAAAAAAATTCTTTGGTTACTTTCTTTGTGAAGATTAAAACATACTATTGATTGCTGCCTTAAGGCCAACAAGAAGAGGTCCAGATTTTGTTATGTTAATACTCGCAGTATGGGCCTTTTAATTCACACAATAAATTCAAAGACGGAATAGAAAGAAACTAAACTTGTAAAATTGGTGAAAATCCTTAAACAAAAAAGAGATTTCAATGTTATAAATATGCAATTACAAAATAAATAAATAAATAACAAGGAAACTAATAATTGCCTGAGGAAAAGCAGCTAATCTTACATGAAACTAAAATCCATTTTCGCACGAAGAAGCTTTTCTCCATGAGAGGAATCATCAAGGGATGATTTTGAACTGTCATAGAAGGTGAACTCAGGAGAAACAACCTGGGTGGTAGAAAACAAATAAGATTACAAATAGAAAAGGATGATTGATATTTTAGGCTACATAGTTCAAGTGATACAAATTGCTTGAAAGGTGTCAAAGCGTGTGAAATTATGAATTTAATTTACATTATTGGACTTGCATAAGAAGTGTCAGACATGTCTCCCAGGATGTCCAAGGAGTGTGTGTTTTTGTTTTTTTTATCAGCATCCAAAGAGTGCTTGTGTCCAACCTGTGTGACATAGTTTCACCAGGACATGCTTAGTGACTGGTAAATTATTCACACGGTATTCTTTTTTCTTTTTTTTTTTCTTCATATTTTTGACAAGTAAATTCCATGAACACACCCCCACCCAGAGAGAGAGAGAGAGAGAGAGAGAGCGAGCAAAAATACAAAGGGATGGAGGGGTTGTGGCACCACAAAAAACCCATTACACTAGAGAAAAGGATAAAAGCAGTGCCAAGAAAGCTATGTTACACGACTCTTCAAAATAAATCAAATACCCCAACACTCGGACAAGAGTATGGGATATGTGTCGGATACTTTTCAATGGATACTTATTATATAATTGTATACAACACTATTATTATATGTACATATTGTTGTATAATTGCTATAAATGTCTTTTTAACACTATAAGTTACATGTAGCACCATTTTCTCACATACTTGATTAAAAATATTAAAATATGACATTTTTTTGCCAAGTCCACGTACCCTTAAATTTATGGTTTGATGAATCCAACCTCTAGATGCATACCCGCACCCGATACCCGTATCCAAGTCCATGTAACACAGCAAGAAAGCACTCTAGAAGACTGCTCAGCAAGGAAGCACGGGTGCGGGTACGAGTACGGTACGGGTATGTGTGCGGGTACGCCGATACGGCAAAACTCAAAAAAAGTATGATACGGGTACGGCTGCGTACACCGATATATATATATATTTTTATATAATTATGGTTAAAGGGTTCAACCTACAAATTAAAATTAAATATCAAAACTAAAAAGAGAACTACTCATTTTCCTATAATTTAAAATCATTAAGTGTTAAAAATAATATTTGTGAAATCTCTCGCTTTGACATGTTACGAATTGTGAATTTGTGATCATAATTTATTTTTAAAATCTTTCTTTTTGCTCATCAATTTGCTATTTTTATAGGGTGGGACCAAATTCTCAATTGAGGCAGATTGTCAATTGCAATTTACATAATACATAAAATTGTATCATTCCCAACCACTACTAATCAACTAAAACCGTATCAATTTTTAATATTTTGTGCATAAACTTTAAAAGTTTGTTATAATTAAAGATTTTATAAAGAAATTCTAGGAGGATTTGAAGCAAAAGTATAATGCATAGTCATACACAAAACTGCCCTTTATAAGCCTTGTTATTTTTTTTTTTTCAAATTGCTTTTAAAAAACATCAAAATCATTTGTTGATATACTTATACAATTCATACAAATAGACAGGATAACGGAGAAACATCAAAATTGCTGATCTGCAAGGACACCAAAAAAATAATAAATAAATAAATAAATTTGAAAAAAAAAAAAAAAACCAATTGGCCCCGGCGTACCCACACCGTACCCATGCCGTACCCGAATGAACCAAATGTACCGGACCCTTTTTGCCGTACCCACGCCGTACCCGAATGAACCAAACGTACCGGACCCCCTTTTGTCGTACCGATACGCATACCCGCACCCGGTAAGTACCCGGTACTCGTACGGCACTATTTTTGGAGTACCCGTGCTTCATAGCTGCTCAGTCCCTCAAGTAGAATAAATATACCCAATCCTCAAGAATCTCCAACTATTTCCTTTAAGATCAACAAAAACAAGAGCCCAACCCAAAAGACAAGCATAAACCATACTCAAACTAGTGCTGCATTCGACTTTCGACTCCTCAGAAAATTGCAAGTGAAATCAACTTCTATAGAACCTTTATTCTAGGTCCAAGAGCCTCAATAGTCTAGCAAATAAAAGGTCCCCCCATATTCAAGGCAAGCCTAGAATTCTAGTCCCATTGCACGAGAAAAACCTACAAAGCCCTCCAAGTAACAATGCTGAAAGGAGAGTTCACAAAATGATAAGCACTGCAAACGTAATCAATTGATTGCCACATAAAAACACATAATGACTTGACAAACAAGAAACCTGGCCTACTGAACTGATCCACAACTGCTATTCTACCTGGCATAGACAACCAGACAACCAGACAACCAAGTAAAGATGCAAACTTTGAATGAAACATGAGAGCTCCGGGTTTTGTTAGCTGGGAGAGAATTATCAATAGAGTAACGCATCAATGAGACAATGAAGACACAGCAAATAACCCTTTCGGATTTAGTTACCACTGGCACCGACCTTCCTCACTACCCTTCATAGATACTGCCTGTGTCCCATTTTGTGTAGCATGGCCGACCATGTACAGAGTCTGAGAACGGTTTCTTTTAATAAGACGATTACAAAAACACCATTGGTCCCATTTGAATAGCTTTTTTAGAAAATTAATAATGTACTGAAATGCAAACATAAAGAAGGGTAATATAAGAAATGATTAAATTTTCTAATTTTGAACTTTGACAAGTAAAAAATGGAAAGTGAGACACATGAATGGAAGGGGGTAGTATATAATGGACCAGACACTAGCCTCTATATGCAGAAATAAGCAACAAATTCACTTCAAAAGGGCACTTTCCACTATTTTAAGATAATTATTCTAAGATTCTTGCACAACTTCATACTCAAAGCCCCTCACGGTGCCCTACAAAAGGCTATATACTATGGCCTTACAACATCATAACAGTGCCAGATTAATACACCAGCAACCTGAATTTGGGTCATCATGAACTATGTTATACTCTTACATAACTGTCCCACCCAGAGCTTTTGTAAGATCATTTCACTGATTGATAGTATTAAAGCATTTTGCTTCATGAGAAAGCAATATAATTATGTAAAAAGAAGCGCCAAGGGGAAACAAATTAAATTTCCATTTACATTCAATTCTACAAAAATTGAAATGAATTGTACAAAAGTAGAGGACCAAGTTCATTCCACAAAAATTGTTGGCAAGAAAAGATCTTAGAATCTATTTCCTTTTTTTTTTTTAAACAAAAAATAAAAAATGGTCCAGCGCAGCCACATACAAATAAATAAATAAAACTTCAAAAAATATGTTGTTGCAAAGCAAACAAAAAAAAAGACACCAATTTATGTAATAATAAAAAATAAAAAAAAGAAATACGTCAATGCCAAGTAAATTAATTTCCAAACAAGAAATTCGGTAAGGACAGATATATGTACCTGTGCTTCAAAAGTGAAACTTTGCATTTTGAATGAATCATTGTCATAGGTGGAAGTATTTGAGCTACATGATAATTCTTCCATACAATCTGGATTCTTTTCATCACTATTAGAAGAAAAGTTGTCCAGCAACAAAATTTCAACACCATCTTCAAGCAAGACCGAGTAGCTGCTATCATTATTCAAGTAGGTATACTTCCTCAAAAGAGAACCATTCTGAAAAATGAACCAAAAAAAAAGGATCAACTAATATAAGTGGATATTTAAAAGAGTGAGGGCCATTTATACTACAATAAGTCATGAGCAACCTCATACTTCAACACCAACGACAATCATTTGTTCTGAACTAACATAAGTGGATATTTAAAAGAATGAGGATAAATAGCATTCACCTTGCTTGTTTCCACTTTTCAAAAAATTTTACTTTCTTATTTTTCGTGTTTTTTTGTTTTTACTGAATTTTTTTAATATTTTAAGCAATTTTTTTACTTTTTAAACACACCTAACATAAATACACCTAAAAAGTAAAAAAATTGTAAAAAAAATCTTTTAAAAATTCACTAAATACCAAAAATACAAAAAAAAATACAAGAATTCAATACATTTTTTGTATTTTTATGTATTTATTAATTTTTTAAAATATTTTTTCACAATTTTTTTACTTTTTAGATACATCTAAATAAGGTGCATCTAAAAAAGTAAAAAAAAAATGTTTAAAATTTTAAAAAATATTCACTAAAAATAAAAAAATACGAAAACCAAAAAAGTCAGTTTTCAAAAAACTTAATCCAGAAAACTCAAATCAAACACACTGATTATTTTCTTTAAAAAATTCCAAAACCAAATGCAGCTCACAAAAATTCTAATTCAGTGCGATTGGTAAGATAATTGATAAAATGGGTATACACAAAACCACAATTTGAAACCCTCCTGGCAAAAAAAAAACAAAAAACAAGAAAAAAAGAAAGGAAAAATAAAGCCCACCGTAACATAAAGGATTGGAGGAAGATAAACTCCACAATAAAAATCTTGCACTGTGGCTCTCCATGTTGAAACCAGAAACTTAAAACAGATAACCATCCACAGACCAGTAAGGCCTTTTTTATAGAGTCCCTCAAGATTAACTAAACAAAAACAAAGCAAAAATATAAGGACATAGGAATTTGGACACTTAGGAAGAAATAAAGGGCGGCCCATTGCATGAGACTCCCACTAAAGCAGGCTCTGGGGAGGATAAGATGTACGCAGCCTTAACCCCATTTTTGAGAGGTCATTTATGTGATTCAAACCCACACCACAAGCGAAGCGAACAGCAAGCCTTACCGTTGCACCAAGCCTTACCAACGGAGACTGCATTGCAGTTTGGCGGGTGCATGAAAGATAAAGTAAAAGGATTGGCAGAGGGCATAAAGTTCAGAGGAACAGACAAAGAGCTCACTGTTCAGGTTTCAGAAGACAAGGAAAAGTAACAAGCCATCACTCACAGGAAAAACAGTTATTTTTAATTTGTATTATTAAACAAAGCAAGTGGAATGAGAGAAATCTAACTATAGGCAATAGTAGCACCACAAAGTAGAACAAACAACATATCAAGCATATTAACACAGTTTTCATGACACAAAGTTCAGCATATTGTCCAAGAAAAGAGGACATAAATCTACTACCTACCCAAAATGATTCCACACTCATATTATGGCAAATTGAAGCAAACACGGCATGTAATGGATCCTCTCTCTCTCTCTCTCACACACACACACACAAGCCTATCGTTTGCTATTGAGAGTTAACCCTAATTAGAATATTTTGTCATGGATGGTGATAAAAGTTGTTTAAAGCATTAACATAAACAAGTAAAGAAAAAAGGTGCAAGATAGGTACCTCAATTTTCACATTTACAAATCGTAACCTCTTTCCACGTCCAAGGATGATGATAGGTCGAAATTTTGATGAACGGACTTCCTTCAAATATGGTTCTTCACTTAAGTGAATAGTCTTTCCACAACCATTATATGTATATTCATCAACCCCTAAGGCATCTGCAACTAACTGTCTATTTGGTGACAAGTGCATTATATCTTCAATCTGTTCGTAAACAGGAGCAGAGAGTACTATGCTGTTGTTTCTACGTGTGGGATCATTCTTTGGATCCATCAATTCCTCCCTCCCTGTTATTGCTCCCAAGGAAGGAACAAAATACTCACCAACAGCAAGAAGAAAATCTGGAACAACAAGAACACGAGGCTGCTGAATCCGGACCACAAATGATTGTGATGACAATCGCCATCTATAGTCCATTAAGAACATAGTTGAAGTTGGAACATCGATGCATGGTGCAGCTTGAGAGTCCATTCTCATAAAGCCACCTTTATTTAACGAAAAAGGGAATTTCCCAGTTGAAGCTTGTTTTGGAACATCAGTACAGGATCCAAGCATCAACCGCATTTCAGGTTTGGTATCAGGGCGAATATCCAGAACATAAAATCTAGGAATGGTCACATAAAGGTCTGCTTCGGATAAAGAAGTCATCCGGTATGATACCCAAAGACCTTCTAGCTGCAATACGAAGAAACAAGTAAAATGAGTTCACACTGCTTCATGTTAGAAATAAGCATGTAAACTGTCAATATAGAACTGACCCTCATGAAGGAAGAAAATTTTAAGATCAGAGATTCAGTAAAAAAAAACAGATACTCACAGCAACATGAGCCAGAGGTGAATCCTCATGAACGCCACTACACAACTCTAGCAATGCATGGTCCACTTCCACTGCTATTATTGTAACAGTATGTGAGAGTAAGATTTGACTATTGATATTGACCTTATCAGCTAGCAACCGCATTGTCTCTTTTGAACCAGACTTGCTTCCACGAAAACTTGGAGGAAGTTTTGGTTGTTCAGATAAGTTCATATAGAAACAATCCAGAATAACATTATACTCTTTATCAGACATCACAGCATGCAGTAAACCCACCTATCAAAATGTTCGTAGGAATCAACTAAAGGTCCTCATAGTTCATATGGATAAGCAACTGATTGGAAGCATAACAAAAGAATTAGACTGAGGCTATTAAAGTTAAAGAAGAAAACTAGCCATTATAAAGTAAGAAATCCTGATAAAATTAAATAAATAAGAACGAGAAATTTGAAAATAAACAATAACCAACACCAACTCACTTTTGTGGTTCCACAATTTCGAAAAGCAAAGTAAAACAACACTTTAAGTCAATGGTAAGAATCAAATGCCTAATCCCATCCATTTGCTCAAATGCCATACTAGCCCCCTAAACATTGCCATAATGGCTTTAGCCAAAGTTAAAGCATGTCTGGACTAAAAAAAAGGTTGAGAATAGGGTATTGAATTCGCAAAACTGAGGTTTTACAATTATAAGGTCTTTTTTAAAAACAAGATAAAAAAGTTAATTTAAAACCCATAATATAAATATTATATGTTACTAGTGTGACATCAACACCCGAGTTAAATATTATTATAACTGTAACTGGAAATATGCATATATTATATATAGGAGTGCACACAAAAAAAAATTGAAAATGTAGGACGTGACACATAGGGTACATGTGCAAAACATATAATTCTATATATTTATTATATTTCCTATATTTGAATATTATACATTTATGCCATGTTAAATATTTATTCTCATCAAATTCATCAACCTGGGTATGCTACCCCGATGAATTATATATATATGTATAATGGAACAACATGTCACCATGTCCTAAACGTGTCTACAGCATGTTTGACATGTGTTCAGAGCGTGCCCAGCACATGTCCATGTCCGACACATGTCAGCCACCAATATTTGGCCTCTGGAGAGGTGTTTGTGCTTCAATGTTCTCAAATGTTTCTAACATATCAATCTTATGTTAGGCAGTGATGAGAACATTTAATCAGCACTGGTCCACTAGAGTGTCCATAAGCACATCTATCTCACCAGTTGCAGCTTTCCCTGTGTGTGTTGTATAATGAGCAATCACTTCTAAGAATGGGGTGTGTCCGTATGTGTCGAACACCAAAACACACGACACATGTCCTACTATTATTATTATTTTTTTCAAATTTAATCAGGCCAGAACATGCTTCGGACACTTGGGAGTTGGGGAACACATGTATCCAATGTTTAGATGTGCATAAAACACATTTCAAATTTGAACAAAATAATTTAGAATCCAATGAAAAAATAACAATGTAGATTTATACGTATTAATCTATCCTTTTTAGAAAACTGGGTTATTTTGTATATTTTTATTATCTTTAAATAAATAATTATCATATAATAAACATCAAAACTATATATTTTGAGCATCTCCAATGCGCCATGTTCGGCATTTTTTGAAAATTACTGCAGCGGCATGTCTGTATTGTGTTATTCAACCTTGAAGTTATATTAGTCATAAGCATTGACGCATTTAGTGGAAGGAAGACTGGAAGACAAGCTTGTTTAAGTTAATCAAGCTTATGATTATGTTAAGCGCTGACTGAGACATTTAATCAACACTAGACCATCGCTCCGTGTGTGCGTGTCCGTGCCAATACTAAACCTTGCACGTTTCTTATTTGTAACCAAAGAGAACATTTATGCCCATTTGCTACAAGATATGGAAAATTGAAACGAAGGTAAGCAGGGTGGAAAAGTAACTTGAGCAAAATAAAACAGCAGTGTTTTCCATTAAATCAGTCTGCCAACTCATACTGCACCACCCTATGCTGCATGAATATATGAAACAAGATGTGGGCGCCAGCTGAAAAATGCCAAAAATATTGGTAATGATTGGATGACCTTGCCTCATGAAGTAAAGGGAAGCTTAAAAGACAAGGCAGCTTTAGATTATGTTTGTTGACAGAGGTAAATAGTAGACCGTCCATAAGAACATCCATATCACCGCTTGTCCCCCTTCCTGTGTGTGCATATGCATATTGAACCTTAAGGTTCATTAGTCAAATAGTGAATCTCTTTTTCATAACCAAAGAGAACATTTATGCCTCATTTTCTAGAAGATATCGAAAATTGAAAGGAAGAAGGTAGGTGGGGCGGAAATGTAACCTTTGGAAACAAAACCATCTTCATTCCCATCTATTTGGCTGATTAACGGAAATGGACATGGAAAGAAGTGTAACTTTATTTTACCATCATACCATTACATCTTACCACAAGAGGGTTATTTAAGGCAGCAAAATTGCAGTAGAATATCATCCTTTCCCTCTTCTTTGTCCCCCCTTTTGGGCAGAAGGAAACTGCAGCTACAGGGGTAACTTCCTTACCCTTCCCCTTTCCTTCCAAAGAAAGGATAACAGGGCAACTCAAAATGCCAGATAATCTTTACTCGGAAGGACGTTGATGATTTGAGTAAAGATTACATGGCAACTCAAAATGTCAGATAACATGGCAATTTGGCTAAATGTTTGGCATATGGTTTCCGGTTCAAACAATGCAGTTTTAAGATAAGATTTTTATTGTGAACTCATGAAGATATATAGTTTCCCACTTTTGAAGATAGTGAGCTTGTTTGGTTTGTATCTCAAGATACATTTTTTGAGAAAAAATTTCAAAATTTTATTTGGTTCAAATTTGTTGAAAAAAATTCCCAAAATCACTTTCTCTCTTCTACACATCAATCAATCACTTTTTCTCTCTCCTCTCTCATTCTCAATCACTTTTTCTCTCACACACATCTATTCAACTACAACAAAATATCAAATCATCCCAAACTCCCAAACTCTAAAACAATTTTCAAAATATACAACCAAACAAATCAAAAAAATTTCTAAACTCTCTCCCAAAATTTTTTTTGAAAATTTATCTCAAAACACAAACCAAACACACCCTGTGATTTTCCGATATTTATGAATTTTGGAAAATCATTATGACTCCTCATTCAGGTTGATGTTTCCTCTTGTCAATCAACAAATGGCTCAAATGCTGTATTAAGGGGGTATGGTGTGCTACTACCTACCTCCACACCCAGAGTGGGCCTGATGTGGGCAACCTCGAGGGAGCTCCATGGACAGTGTCGTCAAGGGGCATGAATGCTGACACTGCACGTTCCTCCTAGGAGCAAGGTTTAATTGGCTAAAAATGTTCTTCTTTAAAAATAAAAATTATATATATATATATATATATAAGATTGCTACCACTTCAAATTGAAAAGAAGAAGAAGATGGGTTTGGAGCAGATGTTCCATGGAAGAATAAAAGAACATATTCTTGAATGTCATTTTCATGGAAGAATACATTCGTGAAGGTCATTTTCTTCTTCCTCTACTGCATTTCTTTCTTACATTGAATACTCATCAAACAAAAGAACACTCCTCTCCTTTCTCTACCACTTCAAATTGACAGACCTCACTTTGTCTCCATTTCTATTTCTATCTTCACTTACTGATGGAACCAAATCAAGAAAGAGACTTCTTTAGAGAGAAAGAATCCCAAAATGGGTACAAGAGCTCTCAAGCTCTGAAATATTCAATATCAAAATATCATTAACTAAATACTAAAGGGGCTTAGCAACCTATTTATAGGATAAAAGACCCAACTAACTCTAACTCTGATGGTACTAAAACATAACAACCATACTAATTCTAACTACATCACTTACAGCCATCTGCAGAGATGCCATACATTCCAAGCTGCAGAGATGCCATACATTCCAAGCACATGTTGAGATAGTAAACTAAACATGTGTGTCCATGTCAATTCCAAGGTAGGCCTTGTCCAACGAAGTTAAATCTTGTATCCACTTATTATACATCTAAACTAAGGATGCATGTAAATGTGAGGATGAATGTAGGGGTTAGAGAGTTTAAATTGATGTTCTTGCATTTCTTGCTAATATGCACATGAGAAGTCAATGATAAAAGTCCATGCCAAGGAACAAAATAGAAACCCATGTATCCATGCAAATGCTCCAAATCATAAAGATTGCTAAATCCAAACGATGGAAGAAGAAAGAATGGCAAAATCAGAAGTAGATCTCCCGTCACCGAAAATACCTTCACTCCTAATGAAAATGTTGGAACTTTCCGAAAGACATCCCTCAAACTACGCCGTACATAAACTTTAATTCCTTGTCCGTCCCGTATCATTGGCTTACCAATACAACCATTGATTCCTACGGCCATGTTGATTCCCAAAATCTGCAATATTACAGCTGAAGTTAACATTACTTCACTACTTCAAGTTTAATGTCTGAACCAAGACTTCAAACATAAAGAAATACCTCTGCATCAAGAACATCAAGATGGACAGCTGAAGGATCTTTCTCTGGGCATCCATGCCAACTAAATTCATTTCTCACTTGCAGCTGGCCCAGATCAAGTTGCATGAAGCTGCAACAATAAATACAAAAAAGTTAATCAATACCCAGTAATACTTAATATTAAAGATATATCTCAGTTGCACCAAACAGAAGCAAGGACGGGGTGGGGGCGGAGATGGGGGAGCTACGGCTCATAAAAGTGCCCAAGGTTGGGAATGCCTAAATATATTAGTATATTGTAAAAAAATTTGCTTAGTTGTACTAAATATGTGAAATTATGAATAAATATTGGAGAATCTTGTCAAGTTTTCAACTGAAAATTGTTATTATTGTAAATATAAAAAATAAAAAATAAATAAATTGTAAATACAGAGTAGTAGTATAAATTTAAGTTAATTTTTTCCTTCTAATGGTTGCAATACATTTTCTCTTGCTTGATAACTGTTCTTTTTGTTTCTTTGGGATTCATATGTTCGAGAAGTTTCATCTCAGTTGAGAACGTGGTTCTTTCTTGATAGGAACGAGATTCTAACTTGATTCTTACTCTGAAAAACAATTCTAGAGCAGATTTGTCACCCCTAGTAGGAGGTTCCTACAACTACGAGCCATATACTACTAGGAAAACAATACTTTTTCCACATTATAATTGTCACTTAGTTTTTGAAAGTAACAAAAGAGAAGGGCAACTATAACCAAAAGTCAACCTCAACAAATTGAAAGAACATCTCAATTGATGGGAGCAACAAGACAGTAAAACAGAATAAATTCCAGGAATCATTAAGCAAAAAATAATAATTTGGAGAAGAAGAGGAAGAAGAAGAAAAACAAAAATGACTACATTTAAGAGACATGTCAGAACTATTTAGATACCAAACCAGCATAAGTCTCATATAATGTCTATTATTCCCATCCCACAAAGCATTCAAATATGTTTTTATACAAAACATCCAGTTAGATAATTTTATGTAATTTTTGGACCCAGCACGACACATGTCCCAAAAGGATAAAGGTAAGAAGAGAACACAAGTACACAAGGAAGAGTGTTCTAACACAAAAGTGAGTATGCATGAAATTATTTATCCTTATCCTTTAAATTATTTATCAAAAAAAAAAACTTTTCAAGATCAATAAAATTCTATATATCACCTTATCTGCACAAACTTATTATTCCTTTGCTGCCAAAAAGACTAAGAACTAAATTAACCAACTGAATACTAAATGACGTGAATTTCTTTGAGAAATACAGACTCTTTACTCATGGAATTTCTTGGTACGATTATTATTGGAGTATCGAGTGAAAGGTCCAGCTTCAATGCCGAGGATCCATCAATCTCATATTTATTAATCAGCCACTCAAAGCCTCCAACTTTATCAACAAGTTTAATTGCTTCTTCTGTATGCGGGGTTGCAAGTTCCATAAAGTAGGTAGTTATCTGCAGAAGCATGTATCAACATCTTATGTCAGAAATTCACAACACTGAAACAAGAATTGAACCCAAGAAGTAACAAAAACAAAATCAGTTCAACTAACACCAACAATGAAAAAAACCAGTTATATGAAGTCTAAAAAGTACGGACACAACTATAGAGGAGGCGTGTGGTGTCGGACACCCGTGTCAGCAAAGACACTCTATGGACACTCTAACAAAGCGAGTCCGACACTTCTTCAATGTGTCTTATTTAAAAATGTAATCTCATAATATCAGACACTTCTTAAAACCTCCAAACACAGCCTATGTGATGAATCAATTCATAGTAATAATGTTATGTATTCTTTGGAATGCAACTTATTCACTCTAAATATGTTTTGAAACACTTTATAAGATAAATACATTATGTGCATTTTTATATTCTATAATTATTTTTCATTCTTTATATTGTAATTGTTACATGAATGATATTTTGATGTTTAAGTTAATTTTAATTAGTGTTAACGTTGTTTATTTTTTTCATTACCTCTCAATAAACTATTTGTATATATCACATATAATAAATTTATAAAAATATAAATTTGTAATGTGTCCTAGACGTGTCGTGTTGTGCATTTTTTTAAAAATTGACATGTCGGCATGTCAGTGTCGTGTCCATATCTTGTCACGTGCCCGTATCTATGCTACTTAGTATGAAGTAAATGAAAAAGAAAGTTGATTAGTTCACTAATTACCAATGCTATATGTGCACCAGCAGCTTCACCAATATTAACATTAAGAAGAGTTTCCATTTTTAACAGCATCAATCAGACTTACCTCCTGAACAAACCTATAGAGGAAGACAATGCGAACTGCAGAAACTCGGCCTTGCAAGCTGTAATCATATCCTTCATAATCGTCATCTTCAGCACTATAAGAATTGAAAGTAAACTGAGAGAGAGAGAGAGAGCAATATTAGAACAATGAAAAAAAAAATGACAAAATATAAATATAAAAAATAGATAAGAAGCCTGTGAGGCATCAGCTTCTAATCAAACAAATTAAAAGGTACCTTGATAAGAGATTCAGCCCCCTGATTGCGTATATCACAAAGCCACCCCCAACAGTGATCCATTCCAAGAGACATATCACAGAGCCTGAAATTTCCTAATGTGCCTTCAATGGATATAGAACTAGGATGAAGCTGAAAGAATTAAATAAACTCTATCAGACAACGAAATTTACACCAGAATGATAGGCTCAAATTCATGGACTGTCTATTACAAATGGTTCCTTATATAGATGCAGGTGTAGTGGATGGTGGTGGTAGGTGAGTGTAGTAGGTGAGTGTGTGGTAGGTGATGTAGTAGGTGAAGGTAAATTTTAACAGCCCCCCGCAAACTCAAGGAGGATAGGAACTAACCAACGTGAGTTTGGAGAGAGTAACAAAACAAGAAAATACATAACAATAAAAAAAAGATAGGAGACACTGTATGGTCGTGTCAGACCGTTGGTGAAGACATTGAAAGGTGGTGTCATAACGTGGTAGAGGACACGGGATAGTGGTGTCATAACGGTGTAGAGGACACTGTATGGTGGTGTCATAACGTTGTAGAGGACACTGTAAGGTGGTGTCATAACGTGGTAGAGGACACTGTAAGGTGATGTCATAACGTTGTAGAGGACACTGTATGGTGGTGTCATAACGTTGTAGAGGACACTGTAGGCTAACCGGAATCAATGTCGGGACAGTTTATGGGGTCGTGTCGGACCGTTGGAAAAGCTAACCGGAATCAAATGTCGGGACAGTTTATGGGGTCATGTCGGACCGTTGTAAAAGGCTAACCAGAATCAAATATCGGGACAGTTTATAGGGTCATGTCGGACCGGTGTAAAATACACTGTAGGATGGTGTATATAGGCTGCCCAAAAGATATACATGGAGATATATATATCGAGCCCTCAAAAGTCGCACCCTCAAAAGGCGCGCCCACTTCATCAAAAGGCGTGCCCGACAGAAAGTGTCGAGCCATCAAAAGGTGAGCCGGAGACGCGGCGAGGCACGTGAGCGACAGAGCGGCGTGTCGGCCCCGTCGTCAGTGTCGATATAAACCAAGGCGGAGACTGTGGAAACCAAACCAAGCTGAAACCTCTGAACATTATCAGTCTGAAACACTCTGAAAATACTCTAGATCCAACCCTGCTCTGAAAAACTCTGCGTTTGCGGAGAGAGAAACGTTGTAACACTTTGGAGTCCAGAAAATGGCTTCGTCGTCCCGTGGGCTGCTCACTCTCTTTCTCGACCTCAACGAGTCAACAAGAGAGACAACTGGTGCGGTGGCACTGGAACCTCAACCAAGCGCCCCGGAGTTTACTCCGTTGAACTTTCCGATGCGGTCTGTGGAGCAAAGAATGGCAGTGCAGTCGGATGTGGAGGCCAATCAGTATACTTTGAAGTCCGGCTGCAGAGTAGGGCAAATGAGGTGCAGCATTTAAACTCCCAGCTGGCTCTGCTCCAACGCATGTATAAGGATGCGCGAGCAGAGATAAGTGTGCTAAAGGCGGAAAACAAGGAGCTGAAGCGGAAGGCCACCGTGATGTTCCGATTTGGAGGTCCGTCATATGCTGCAGTGGAGGAGTATGGGGGAGTGAACGTGCTCGGTGGACAATGAAACACGGAGGCAACACCGGCAAGGGCCATCCAGGACGGAGGCAAGAAGAAGAGACCTGCAGCAGAGTAGAGAAGAAAAATCCTGCCTGTGGATGTGAATGTGTTGTTTGTGGTTGTGTTGGTGTTTTTTTTGGTGTAAAAGTGTGATCGGGGTTGATCCCTGTCATGAATAAAACGAGGTGTGTTTTTGGGTTTTTTTTTTTTTTTTTTTTTTTTTTTTTTTTTTTTTTTTGACGGAGCAGAAATAAGAGAAAAAAAAATGAAAGAAAAATAAAAACATAAGAAAGAAATAAGAATAATATGGTGGGTCACGGGAGTTTCTTGGCCCACGGTTTGTTAAAACTTGCAATGGTTTTTTTTTTTTTTTATAAAAGATAAAGAAAAGTATTATATTTCTGACGTGTAAATAAAAGAAGAGTGTTGGGTGAGACATGGTGGGAACAAAGAGAATAAAAAAAAATATTATAATAAACATATTAAAATAAAAGAAAAAGAAAGTGCTCTGAATTATGGCTCCAACTCATGGTGTGCTGTAACCGTGAAATGGTGGGAGAAGAAAAGAAAAGTAAAAGCTGAAGAAAAGTAAATGGTGTGCTGTGTGGGTTTGTCCAAAAGAGGTATGTTTGTTTTTGTTTTTTTTTTACTTAACTCTGTTTCTCACCTCCAACCAGAGAGAGAGAGAGAGAGAGCACATGGTATTGATGAGGACTGCAAACCAGCTACCAAGTAAGGCCAAGTACTATTTGGATGATCCAAATGAGGTCATAACAATGCGTGAAGCTCTAGCCGAAGAATCAGGCCCTCCACCATCAACAGAAGCCGGGACTCGAAGCACGCTTTGAAGGTGGTTACTATTTGTGGCTTTCCCGTGTTGAAAAACTTCAGTTTGCCTCTTCCATCAATCCATTCTGGATAAATATCGTGCACGCCAAGGTAGCGATTCCATTTCTTTTTTTTTTTTTTTTTTTTTTTGGAAAAAAATTCATGGAAGAAAACACTGTATAGCTGTTTGTTTGATGTTCTGCTCGGAACATCAGCAGATTGGATTTCCTGTGATTAAGAGGTGGAGGAGGAATACGGGTTTGATCACCCGGGTGGGATTACCATCCCTTGTCGGATCTCCGAGTTTGAGAGCGTCCAGACCCGGATCGCTGCCGGCCGTGGCCGCCGGAAATTGATGACGAGGAAGATGACTTCGATTCGGAGAGGGAAGCGATTGGTGAGGTGGTGAAGAAGAGTGAAGATATGGGTAAAAAATTCTAGCGGAATAAGTTGAGGTCCGGCGGGCGGCCAAGGCGAGGTTGCCGCCCGCCGGTGAAACGAAAAATACTAAATTCTTAACCTTACTCTGATACCATGTTAGAATTTATGTATTATTGATTGATTGATGTTTCTGTCTATTACAAATGGTTCCTTATATAGATGTAGGTGTAGTGGATGGTGGTGGTAGGTGAGTGTAGTAGGTGAGTGTGTGGTAGGTGATGTAGTAGGTGAAGGTAAATTTTAACACAAAGTGTTGGGCTTCTCTCAAGTTTTGAACTTGAGTGGTAGGACCCACAATGGGTCCCATCTCGATGTTCATTTTTTAGGGCCTTTCATGTAAATCATCCATGAAAAAAATTAAGTCGATCCAATAATCGTACCTTTTTTTTTTCATAGACGATATTCACGGAGGGACCTACAAGATGAACGGTTCGGATCTAAGATTTTAGTGAAGAGAAAGTTATAGGGAATAGGTTAGACCTTATTCCCTTTTATATTGATAATACTGAGTAATTACAGGAGTGCCATAAGGCATAAATTATGGGCCAACCCATTACATCAATAAAGGAAAAAATAAATATAGAAAGAACAAAATATAAAAAATATTCTTTCCTATTTTAACACTCCCCCTCAAGCTGGTGCGAAGACATCTCTCATACCCAGCTTGTTGAGAATGCCATGAAATGGTTTGTTTCCTATACCCTTGGTGAGAACATCTGCCAGTTGGTCCCAGTCTTCACAAATGGAATACATATGGTGCCACTTGTGAGTTTTTCCTTGATGAAGTACCAATCAATCTCAACATGCTTAGTCCTGTCATGTTAAACTGAATTATGAGCTATGTTGATTGCGGCTTTGTTGTCACAATACAATCTCATGGAATCGGTCTGATGGATCCCCAAATCTCCCAATAATAGTCTAATCCATAGCAACAAACATACACCCTGAGCCCTAGCCCTGAATTCTGCCTCAGCACTAGATCTAGTAACCACATTCTTTTTCTTACTTCGCCAAATGACTAAGTTGCCTCCAACAAATGTGCAATATACAGAAGTTGATAGTCTATCAGTGACGGATCTAGCCCAATCCACATCAGTGAATGCCTCCACACTGAGATGTCCATGTTTCGAGAAATAGAAACCCTTTCTAGGAGAAGCCTTCAAATATCTCAGGATTCTCATAACTGCCTCTAAGTGGGAATTTCTTGGAACATGCATAAACTGGCTAACCATGCCTACAGCAATGGCAATGTCTGAACAGGAGTGGGATAAGTATATGAGCTTACCCACTAATCTCTGATATCTCTCCCTGCCCACTGGATCTCCCCCTTGATCCTCACTTAGTTTCTGGTCCGGTTCTAGAGGTGTATCACATGGTCTACCTCCAAGCATTCCAGTTTCCTTAAGCAAGTCAAGTACATACTTCCTCTGGCATATAAAGATGACATCCTTGGACCGAGCTACCTCAATGCTCAAAAAATACTTCAAATTGCCTAAGTCTTCGACTTCAAACTCCTTGGCTAAGTATTCCTTCAACCGAGGAATCTCCTTAACATCATCTCCTGTCAAAATAATATCATCAACATAGACAATAAGAGCTCTGGTCATACCAAGTGAGGAGTGTTTCACAAATAAGGTGTGATCAACTTGACTTTGCTTGAACCCATATGTCAGCAAAGCTTGAGCAACCTTTCAAACCAAGCCCTAGGGGATTGCTTTAGCCCAAAGAGTGACTTCCGAAGCCTGCACACTTTACTTTTGAACCTAGCATTCTCAAAACTAGGGGGAATATCCATATATAAACCTCTTCTTCTAGGTCTCCATGAAGGAAGACATTCTTCACATCAAACTGATGAAGTGACCAATCCAGATTTACAGCAAAAGAGAGTAGTATTCTCACAGAGTTCATTTTAGCAACCAATGCAAATGTCTCCTGGTAATCTACCCCATACGTCTGAGTAAAACCCTTAGCAACTAGTCTTGCTTTGTACCGTTCCATGGAACCATCTGCTTTGTGTTTTACAGTGTACACCCACTTACATCCAACTGGATTTTTGCCTCTAGGTAACTCCACTAACTCCCAAGTACCATTCTTGCTGAGAGCTCTCATCTCTTCCATTATGGCATGTTTCCATTCAGGAATAGTGAGAGCCTCTTGAAAATTGTTAGGCAGACTCATAGAAGAAATCTTAGACAAAAAGGCTTTATATGAGGGAGACAGATTGGAATAAGAGACATAATTCGTAATAGGATGCTGAGTACATGACCTAA